GACCTGAAAAAGGGGGAGCTCATGGACCCCAGACTGATAGCTGGGAAACGAGCACAGGACTGATCCAGACCCCCTGAACGTGGGTGTCAATGAGGAGGCCTGGGCAATCTCTGGGGCTGGGATAGTAGACCAGTGTTTATCCCTAGCAAGAAATGGAGTAAAATAGGGTGTTAGTGGGGGGCAGGGAGCAGGGGAGGGAGAGGGAACTGGGATTAACATGCAAAACAAGCTTGTTTCTAATTTAAATATTATAATAATAATAATAATAATAATAATAATGTCTCCTAGTGACATGCTGCAATACTCAGATATCAGTGCCTTGCCTAGTTACCATCAAAGAAGCTTCCTCCTGAAGAAGATGGGAACAAACACAGAGACCCACAACTTGACAGTGTGCAGAGAGTGAGAGACCTTGGGACACTCCGTCCTTAATGGAATAAAGTCCTTCCCCTTAGGGCTCAAGGAACCCTGTGGAAGAGGAAGTGGAAGAATGGTCAAAGCCAGAGAGGGTGGGGGACACAGAGGAAACAAGGCCTTCTAAACGCAGTGGGCAGGACACATACAGGAACTCACAGGGACTGGCACCATGCACAGGACCTGCATGGGCGTCTGTGCCACATAGGGTCGCAGTGCTGACAGGAGAAGTGGACATGTGTCCCCTCCCTAACCCAGGAGCGATGGAAGCTATCTCCAATTGATAACTACTCAGAAATGGATAACTAGCTTTCTCCAACAGCTTCACTGGTGATAAAAACCACTGTTAAGGGTAGGCCTCATGCCCAGCATTATATAGAAAATATTAAAAAAAAAATCCAGTGGTAATTTTGGAGGTTCTTTGTCTCAATGTGCAGTCAGGGCATTTATTTTTTAAATCATTTTATTTACATTATAGGTACTTTGCATATATATTATGGTTTCCTTGTCTGTGTTTTTATAGGATTCCTCTATGTGTGTGTGAATTTGTGTCTCTCTGTCTATATGCTTTTCTTGTGCTTTTTCCTTGACTCCCTTTCTTCTAGTTTTTGTTCTATCCTATTCTGATTTGTTTCTGTTTTATTTTTATTATTATTCTTTAGATGGCTTGCAGTGGGATCTAACATAAAGAAAGGCCCATGGCTCCCAAGCAGAGGTTGGTCTATGGCTATGTATCAAGCCTGGCTTGGAGTTCAGTGCAGGCTGGCTAAGACCTTCTGACGGTGGCTGTATTCTTGGGGGGGAAGTGCGGAGGCTCTCAGAGAAATTGGAGTGGGGAAACCAAAATCAGAATATATTGTATGAAAATAGTGATTTTCAATAAAGGAAAAGTAGAAAAAATAATTGTAAAGAAAAATGAAATCAGGACATCTTTAAGAAAATGGGTGGAACTGGCAACTGGCCTGGTTCAAGAGGAGCAGGGTGAATCCTGGTTACACAGCCTCCTGGGGGGACTGTTACATACTCACCTCTTGTCTGCAGAGATGGATGTGGAAGTCTCTAGTTCTAGATGTTCTTGTAGAAATTGATACATACAAGCCTTTGTCACACAGATTATGTAATGTTCTATATTCCGTGGCTTTGTAGACAAGATTTTTTATTGCTACATTTCTGGGAGGGGAGGTATCATTTTTTTTTTTGCAACTTGTAACAGTATATGGCATGATCCTTAGTATCATGTCTTATATAATTGACCGATATCTTTTATAATTGACATTTTCAAATTTTTAGGAGAGGAGGACTGGAATTTCCCTACCTTCTGAGAGGCAATGGGAAAAATCTAACACTATTATTATTAATTGGGTCCTTACATTTTTTTTACATTATTTTATGCAAAATGTACTGTGAATTGTGCAGAGGTGATGGCATGTTGAGGAACGCATCATGGGTGAATGGCAGACAGCCCTTCTATTTCTACTGCAATATCCACTGAGAAATCATCTCCCATCGTTGCTGGGGCTCTGTGGGATTCATGTGGCCCATTTTCAGGGCTGAGCTCATGTTGATTTCACAGGGACTACTCCCTCAGAAGACTCTCCCCCAGACCCGGAGGGACTCCACATCACGGGTGTCCAGGAAGTATAGGTAGCCATCCACTGTCCCCACAGCAGCCGACGAGGAGGAAGGGCAGCACGCTAGGGCAGTTGCCTGTTTAACAGAAGCCCCAGAGAATGAGGCCTGCTGCACATACAGGAAACCTACTGGGCTGGGCATGTAGTTGGGGTCTGTCAGGCTTGCATTTAGCATGCTCCAGGCACGCTATTTCATCTTCTGCCCAACCCCCACCCCACCTCAAATGCTTAGAATTTTTGAAAAGCCTACAAACTTGTTATGGTACATATTTCTTTTCGGAAAGTCAACATTCCTGAATCAGACCAATTGCATAGGCAACCACAGGAGTATCTATTTGGTATTTTATGCTAAAACTAAAATGACAGAATCTAAAGAGGTATTGAAGAAAACTAAGCTGTAATCTGTCAAGAAAACATGGTGTCTGTTTACGATTCTAAGTCTCATATGCAAAAGGATGCAGAACTCTCAGAACAGAGCATTCTTCTAGCCAAGTGGGCTTTTTTTTTTTTTTTCCTGAGTTTGGGAGTGCAGTGTGCGTGCATGTGTGAGTGTACACATATATGTGTGAATGTATGCAATTATGCAATTATAGGACAAACTTAATCATCAACTATCTTCCTTGATTTCTCTCCACCTTATATACCGAGGCAGGGTCCCTTGCTTGAACACAGAGCTTGCTGATGCAGCTAATCCAGCCAGCCAGCTTACTTCATGGAGGCCTGTTTCTGCCTCCCACACATTAGGAGCACAGGTGACCATCACACCTGTACATCATTTACATACGTGCTGGAGATCCTGGACCTTATGTCACACAGCAGGCATCTTAGTTCCATGCCTTCCTCCCTTCCCCCAGCACGTGCCTGTACCTGGCTCCCTTCAGTGGGCTTTTGTTACTACATATTAATGGAAAGCCTTTACAGGACTTCTGGAGAGAGAGAGAGAGAGAGACAGACAGACAGACAGAGAGAGAGACAGACAGACAGACAGACAGACAGAGACAGAGAGAGTCATCCTCAAATTATCAACTGAAATTCTCCTCTATTCTAGAGCTATAGTGAGCTACTCTAAATAGCAATAGCAATAACAAGGGACTCATGTCCTCTCACAGGTGACAGGGGAAGTTTCCCCATTACAGGCATCTAGCTGTGGTGGTGCTGGGCTGGGCTCCTTGAGAACCACAGCCTAAAGTGTTCACAGAGAAACAGCTGTGGGAGAGGCAGAAATATTTGGCCTCAGCATCACTGGGTCTGTCCAATGATCGTATCTCTGTAGTGCAGTGGGATCTAACATAAAGAAAGACCCATGGTTCCCAAGCAGAGGTTGGTCTGTGGCTATGTATCAAGCCTGGCTTGGAGTTCAGTGCAGGCTGGCTAAGACCTTCTGACGGTGGCCTGGTTCAAGAGGAGCAGGGTGAATCCTGGTTACACAGCCTCCTGGGGGGACTGTTACATACTCACCTCTTGTCTGCAGAGATGGATGTGGAAGTCTCTAGTTCTAGATGTTCTTGTAGAAATTGATACATACAAGCCTTTGTCACACAGATTATGTAATGTTCTATATTCCGTGGCTTTGTAGACAAGATTTTTTATTGCTACATTTCTGGGAGGGGAGGTATCATTTTTTTTTTTGCAACTTGTAACAGTATATGGCATGATCCTTAGTATCATGTCTTATATAATTGACCGATATCTTTTATAATTGACATTTTCAAATTTTTAGGAGAGGAGGACTGGAATTTCCCTACCTTCTGAGAGGCAATGGGAAAAATCTAACACTATTATTATTAATTGGGTCCTTACATTTTTTTACATTATTTTATGCAAAATGTACTGTGAATTGTGCAGAGGTGATGGCATGTTGAGGAACGCATCATGGGTGAATGGCAGACAGCCCTTCTATTTCTACTGCAATATCCACTGAGAAATCATCTCCCATCGTTGCTGGGGCTCTGTGGGATTCATGTGGCCCATTTTCAGGGCTGAGCTCATGTTGATTTCACAGGGACTACTCCCTCAGAAGACTCTCCCCCAGAGCTTCAGCTAGGGGGGACTTCTGTTGTGTCCTCCTCCTCCTCCTCCTCCTCCTCCAGGATGGTTCCCTTCTCCACCACTGTGATGTGAGGTTGGCACTGTGCCAGCTGGGTGTAATTAAATCAGGGCTTCTTAAACTCGAACTCTGTGTGGGTGAAACAACATGGTACCGAGGATTTCCACAGACCGATGAGATGGGAAACAGAAATGTGAGTGGAGTTGCAATGAGTATTTTCAACTGATTTTATCGGGTACACTTACTGGAGTTCCCAGATAAATCTTGCTAGTACAAGTGCAATCCTCTATCCACAAGGCAGCAATTTCCCCTGAATTTGTGAGCGTCTGTAAGAGAAGGAAAGGTAACACTGAATGGACCATCAGACTCTGCTGTGGGAGCACATGCTGATCATCTAGGATGTTAACTTGGGACGTCAGCTAAAAGCTTCACTGTTTGTGTATGTTATTAATAATTTATAAACTCAACCTAAATTCTTATTTTCTGAAGAAGTGCTAACTATTACCATTTCTTTATCCTGTTTTCTTCTCTCTCTTCCCCCCTTTCTCAGTCTCCCTGAAACTGAAAGACCCCCAGAAGCTCAGGCCTCTAGGATCTCAGCCCAGGACCTCAGTCGCCCCAATCACCAGGCGGAGTCGAAAGCTTTATGCAAACTGCATGAGGCTTTATTATAGTTGTTTAACGAGCTAACCCCACATTAGCTTGGGTCTTTCATCCACCCGCCATGGCAGATGGCTAGGAAGGACAGCTTGAAGCGTCTGCATAGAGATCTTACAGGGCAGTGTAAGGGGAGTGTTTAGGGGTACGCACAGGCTCAGGATTGGTGTGCCTCCAGGCTTGGAGGGTTTGCCCTGTGTTGATTGGTCAACTGGTAGTTATGGGCCATAGGCCCTCCCAGGATGGTTGCTATGCTCTGCGTGTCATTGCTGTGCACTTGTCTGAAAAGCACA